CTGCGTCTACCCGGGGGCTGGTTGTTCTTGGAGATGTAGTTGGGGTTGACAAGGCAGGTGAAGTTGTTGCGGCTGGTGCCGGACCCCTGGGGTCGGCAGGCGGCAGCTTATACCCGCGTGAGCTAGTCGGGCAGCGCCCCCCGGTGTCGCAGGCCTCGTACAGAATGGCCGCTCCAACAAAGGAAAGCGACTCTAGTAGTCTAGTCAAGTCGCTCAGTCTGAACTTGGCATTCTCTCGAAATGCTACTAATCTCCTGCCAAGGAATTCATTGAAGTGCTTTGAAGAGCAATTCGATCGGAAGCCCATTTACCTTCATTGCAATTCTATACTTGTTTGAGTTCTGGTAACGATTATGCAAACTCTGGTCATGAATTCATTCTGGTCTCAGTTCATGTTGTAATGTGCACGGGCTCGATGATCAAGTGACTGATTAGAGAACTGACGCATCGTTATAACGGATGAAGATAACGACCGTAACGGATACGGAGGTCAAACTGACACAATGCGGGGGCGAGCGGGCAGTGTCAACATGACGGCGATGCGCGAGAGGGCGGAGGAGGCCAGCAAGAGAGAGACAAGCCTGGCAAGCCAGGTACGATGTCCTGCTGCTGCTGCTCCCGCTCCCGCTCCTGATGCTGCTCCCGCTCCCGCTCCTGATGCTGCTCCTACTCCTGCTCCTGCTCCTGCTCCTGCTCCTGCTCCTCGGTCTAATGATACTGGCAGCTCGATCACTACCTTGGGTTAAGGAAAGATGGGTATGGGACCAACACAGAAGGATTCTTTCACATCATATTCTTGATAGGTTCCCTTCCCTTCCCTCTCCTCGGTTGTTGTTGTGATCGTTTGTGTGCATCCTCAGTTTTCACCGCTGTGGTGATGGATCAAGCCGTTCCCAATGAAGAGTTCCACAGCTTTTGTGATAGCTTGAGCACTTTGTTTGTGATAGATAGCATTCCAGGTTGACTAGAAGTCGATTCTCACCCCTGATGTGACATGCTTTCAGAGAACGACGCAAGGAACGCAACATTGCGATGGTTCAATCAATCCATCGCAACCAAGGTCTCCTCCCCCTCATTCTGACGTTCTTACCTCTCATTCACACACACAGATCCTCCCTCCTGACGCTCAAGCTGTCGGATACTTTGGAGGAGGAAGCCTGCTTCTCGTCTCTCACATCCAGGTAGCCGCACTCGCTGCCCTCCCTCACTCCCTGACTTGACGAGCAGGTTCGACAGCTGCGGGTGGTTGCGACCCCCTGCAACAGCCTCGTGCAGACGATGACAACGAGCAGTCTGCCCTGCTACGGGGGATACACACAGAGCAACGAGTTCCGGTCTCCGCTCACCCTGAGAGCTCCGGGGTCAAACTCATCCATCGCCTCCTACTGGGAGCTCGGGGACGGGACGTGGACGCGAGGAAAGTCTGGGACGGCCTACCCGAGCTCAGGGAACATGCTGTACCTCCCGTTGAACAGAACGGATGCGATGGCAATGCTGAGGTTGATGAGCAGCGGCTGGATGGCGCCTGGGACGCGGGCGATGCTGGTCGACTACCTTGTGATCTGCCCATCCCTTCGGCTGTTGGGCACTGTGAGACAGATCGTGGAGTTCCTCCCCTCCGGGAAGGTGGAGACAGACGTGCGGGTGGAGGGGGCGAGGATGGAGCACGTGCTGCCGACAGGAGACAAGCTGCAGTCAGCCGGGGTAGCAGGGGAGATCGTCGTGCTCACGTGGATCTGTCTCCTCACTGTGCGGGAGCTCTACATCCTCTTTCGCATCAGGTGGTGGTACGTGCTGGGAAAGGGGAGGCTGTGGAGGTTGTGGAGCTGGACCGTCTTTGCGCTGGGAGCAGCGAGCATGGCGTACCGCCTTCAGCCCATTCAGCTGATGAACTCGCAGAAGTATGTATTCCCTCCTACTACCAACAGGTACTTTCCCAGCTTCCAGTCCGTCCTCCTCCTCCTGCAGACGTGGAGGACGCTACTGGGGGTGAACCTTGCGCTGTGCTGGCTGAGGAGCCTGCAGTTCATGCACAACATCTCTGTGCTCAGACCGACCCTCGAGGCCATGGAGCGCGCTATGCTCGCTGTCATCTCCATCGTGCTCGTCTGCTTCATCCCGTTCCTCGCGCTTGCCATGGTCCACCAGCTGGTTCTCGGGGTTGGGAATCGCTCGTTCAGGACGTTTCGAGACACTTGCCTGTCTATCTACGTCTCCATCCTCGGGGGGAAGATCATATACCTGGACTCCTCCTCCTCCTCCTCCTCCT